CCCGCCCAATAACCCAGTATTGCGTAGCGTGTACCGCTCCGCTACCTAACGGATCCGTGAATACAAGGCGGCCCGAGACACAATTAAAAATCCATACTCATACACCGAAAACACGCTCTAAAGAAAACACATTACACCGAAAATACACACTAAAAAAAATATACACATTAAAAAAAATACACACACTACATTGAAAACACACACTAAAAAAAATACACGCACTTCACCGAAAATACACACTAGAAAGAATTACACACACTACACCGAAAACACACACTAAAAAAAATACACACACTATACCGAAAAGACACACTAAAAAAAACACACACAACTACACTGAAAACACACACTAAAAAATATACATACGACACCGAAAACACACACTTAGAAAATATACGCACACTACACCGAAAATAATTATTCATTAATAAACTAAATCTTTAAGAAATAATTATTAAATATTTAAACAAATAATAATACCACATCCACCTTCTGGAAGAATGCAAATAATATCTTGATCCACTATTCACTAAAACAAGTAAATCTTATCCAAAGCTGAAACTCGGATGAGTATAACTCAGTTAGTTCAGAAGGTGGTAAGTTGGTGCAAAGTTTTAACCCGGATGAGTATAACTCAACTAGTTCAGAAGGTGGTAAGTTGGTGCAAAGTTTTAGGATCGAGTATTGGCAGCTGCAGTATGAGAATATCAACTCCAATGAAGGTCGATCGATTCCTTGTGGGCACCAGACCCAGGTCCACTATCTAACAGACCGTTGGAGTCACCATGATTTAAATCACTGCACAAAAACCTGTCAGACAAGGGACAACACGAGGGCACGAGGGATTTCGCCTTTCGACGATCCAAGCAAATCTTATCCGAACACTAAATAAATATCTAAATAAACTGATAAAAAATGAGACTCAAAGTCAAACATTTCCCTACAATTAATTTCACTTCAAACTTAAACATCTTTAACCAAAAAAAAAAAAAATGAACATCTCAGGCATGAAAGACTCTCTACCAAACACGTCCAAAATTTGGGAAATACTCTGCTCGAGATATTATCCGAGGCATGGGGGCTTGAAACGGATCGCCTGAAAAACACCCATATCATCCGAAGCCGAATTCCTCACGATTCTTCTACAAGACGAAGTTGTCAACGACCTCCAAGTATTGTATCAAGATCAATGGGTTGGTATCAACCTATTCGAGGAGGTTTAGTAATAAACATTGGTGATCTTCTCCAGGTATCTAATTTTATTTATTGCATTTTGTACTCCTGTATTACGGAAAAATACATTTTATGTCCCTCATGTTTGCATCGATTTCACATTTGGTCCATTATGTTCACAAAAAAACACATTTGGTCCCCCACGTTTCAGAAATTCAACATTTTTAGTAATTTCCATCAATTTTCCGTTAATACTAATGGAATCAAGCGTGGCCAAATCACTGTCTTAACGGTAAATTAACGGAAATGATGATGTTAAATTATTGAAACATGAGGGACCAAATGTATTTTTTGTGAATATGGAAGACCAGATGTGAAATCAATGAAAACTTGAGGGATGCAAACAGTAATTTTCCCGCCTGTATTATATCGAATCGCTACAGAAATCGTCATATTACTAATATTAGCAAAAAAAAAAAAACAAAAAAAACTAGAATATATTTTTTTAGCACTCAACCCCTAAATAATGAGTTTGCTAAAAGAAATTGAATCATTAAAGAAAAAAGACTAGGGTACTGAATGTAATAAACCCATTTAATTTTATTATCCCGGCGTTGACTTTTTTTTTTTGTAATATATATCATTATATAGTTGGTATCGAATGGGAGATTCCTAAGCAACGAGCACAGAGCAATAACTAGCTGCGTTGGACCGAGAATATCCGTGGCGTGTTTTATCTCGGGAAATATAAATAATTGGAATAAGATTTACGGCCCCATAAAAGAGATGATATCGCAAGAAAATCCGGCAATGTACAGAGATATTGTGTTGGGTGAATATATTTCCAGATTTTTCAAAGCTGGACTGGACGATTATCGTGGTCTCGATTATTACAAGGTGTGAATAAAATCATTCATTGAGACTGAAATTATGGAATTTGTAAAAACTTATACTAAAATATCATGTAAGAATAGATTGTGTGTGTGTTTTAACTTTTAAACTATGCAGCACGTACGGGAACTTCAACTTCATAATGTTTCCGCTTTTCGAACAGGTTTCGTGTCCGACGCTCGAGGAGACCTGTCGAACACCTTATGGGCCATTTTGCAATTTCAAAAAACTTATAAAAATGTTCGAATAGCATATCTTCAAATAGTTTTTTTGGTTCCCAATAGTTTTTATATTTACACATTTCCATTGACTTCTTCCGACAGACGCCATGCCTGACCTTTGACTCTTAGACTTTTAGACGTGAATTGAATTATTTGGGACGGAGCTCATATTAAATTCAAACAGTTGAAAATCGAAAGAAATTTTCCAATTTTATTCAATAAAACACTTTAATGAAATTGCATAGAATTTCCGAGTTAAAGAAATTTCTCCGCTAAAAGAAAATTCGTACAAAGTCAGAGCGTTTAATAGTCAATCTCCTCAAGTTGTTTGACAATTAAATGTTAGGTAGACAAAAGTAAATAGGAAAATTTTTAGTTTTCACCTCTAAAATTTGAACGGATTCCACATTTGGTCCTTCGTGTTTATAAAAAAAATATTTGGTCCCTCATATTTCAAAAATTCAACATTTTTAGTTATTTCCGTCAATTTTTTGTTAGTACCAACGGAATCAAGCGTGTACTGATGATTGTCTTAACTGACGAACTAACGGTAAATTGACGAAAAAGACCAAAAATGTTAAACTATCGAAACACAATGAATTTTGATCGTAAAATAGTTTTTTTGACGTTCCACCAATGTTAACTAAAATTTGTGTTTTATAGTCTACAGTTTTTGGTGATTTTTATCGTGAAATAGTTTTTTGGACGTTACACCAATTTTAACCAAAATTTGGCATACAATTTTTGGTGATATTGATCGTGAAATAGTTTTTTTGGACGTTACACCAATTTTAACCAAAATTTGGGTAGCATACAGTTTTTTGTGATATTGATCGTGATTTTTTTTTTTTTTGACGTTCCACCAAGTCTACCCAAAAATATGTGTATTATAGTATACAGTTTTTGGTGATTTTGATCGTGAAATAATTGTTTGGACGTTGCACTAATTTTAACTAAAACCTGTGTACTATAAGTATACAGTTCTTAGTGATTTTGATAATGACAAAGTTTTTACACACACTACACCGAAAATATACACTAAAAATAATTATACACACTCCGCCGAAAACACACAATAAAAACAATTACACACTACATTGAAAACACATTAAAAAAATATACACACACTACACCGAAAACACACACTATTTGTCTTTCAAGGATGCAAGCAAATCTTATCCGAACGCTAAATAAAATGATAAATATAAGACTCAAAGTGAAACATTTCCTACAATTAATTTCAATTCAAACATTTCCTACAAAAAAAAATGAACATGATCTCAAGCATGAAAGAAGACTCTCTACCAGAGGCAACAACACAAAAGTACGATCGCATCAAAGATTTGAAGGCTTTCGACGAAACGAAAGCCGGCGTCAAAGGACTCATCGACTCCGGCATAAGGAATATTCCGAGAATCTTCATCAGGCCGTCCGACGAGATCGCCGCCGATCAGAAGTACTCCAACAACACTCAGCTACATATCCCTGTAATAGATCTCAGTGGAATCGGAGAAGACGACGACAAACACAAGAAAATCGTCGGCCAAGTGAAACGCGCATCGAAAGATTGGGGATTTTTCCAGTTGGTGAACCACGGAATCTCCGAGAATGTTCTAGAAGGTATGCTGGACGGAATCAAAAGATTCCACGAGGAAGATGCCGATGTGAAGCTAGGGTTTCATTCTCGTGATTTGATGAAGAAGGTCAAGTACTCGAGCAACGTCGATCTGTATCGGTCAACTGCTGCTAATTGGAGGGACTCGTTGACCGTTTCTTTGCCCAATTTTGACCCCATTGAACCCCTTGACTTGCCTCAAATTTGCAGGTCAATTTCCTTTTTTTTTTTTTTCTTCTTGATTTTAAAATATTGATTTTTCAACAGATATTTTTAGTTGTATAATTTAATTATTCTTTTAGTTATTATTTAAAATAAAAAATAAACAATTTAAGGTATTAGGATTTAAAATACAAATTGAATTGAGTTTGAGGGGGCTAAGTGTTACAAATGATACTTTATGATGGTAAGTGTTACAGATGGTATACATTAGGGGTGTAAACTGTATTTAACCCTATATATTATTCACGAAAATTGGTTAATCAAAGTACAAAAAAACACAAATATTTAGTTCATGTAGGTCCAATTTGATTAAATACTTCAGCTTCAAAATCGTTCGAGCACGGGATGATTTAGCCGTTGGAGCAAGTGAGTTTGTGTCAGTTGACTCCAATTCGAATCCGTTTGCCAACGGTCGCTAGGTCGAGTTTGTCACACGTGGTTAGCTTAATATGGTTTGCGTCTTCCGTATGGTTTACAAGTTATTATACGATAGTGTAGGTTACCCAGTGCACCTATATGGTTGTATTACGTCTAAGATTATAAAAATTCATACATCTTACTAAGGAAATTAATTAGTTAACTAGTACGAAATTGCTGCAATTCAATCTAATCCAACTCATCTAATTGAACTTGCCTCAAATATTAGATACTATTATCGACGAAAGAGACAAATTATAATGGTAATCTATCCACGATTTCAAATAGTGCTAAGTGCATAAGTGAAAGCGAATAGAAACTCGAAATTACGACGAATTTCGACATTGTTTAGACCCTTATCTATCCAATCTTGCAAAAAAAAAAAAAATTAGGAGCTTAATATGTTGTTTATTAGGAAATACGGATTTTATTTCTGTAATTTGGGTTGTTCGTACGATTTTTTCAGCACTATTAGAAACTTGACCTTATAAACTCATTTTCACCTTCAATTTTAAAGGGATTCAACAATCGAGTACATCAATGAAGCCACGAAGCTAGCACAAACTTTACTTGAGTTGCTATCGGAAGCTCTTGGCCTAAAACCCGAACACCTAGCATCCATCGAATGTGGCAAAGGGCGCACTTTCATCGGCCACTATTATCCACCCTGCCCCGAGCCAGAACTTACTATGGGCGCCGGGGCCCACACAGACCCGGCTTTCTTAACAATTCTATTACAAGACCAAATTGGCGGACTACAAATTCTTCATCAAAATCAGTACGTAAATGTACAACCCCTCGCCGGAAGTTTAATAGTCAATATTGGAGACATGTTGCAGGTTCTTCTAATTATTTTTAGTGAATTTTTTTTTCCAATTTTACTAACGTAAAAAATAAATTTGAATTTTTGGATTTTTTTTATTTTTTTGCAGATGATTACGAACGATGAGTTCATAAGCATGGATCATAGAGTTGTTGCGAACACAGTTGGGCCGAGAATTTCTGTTGCTGGATTCTTCTCCGGTAGTTCTTCGCCGGAAAATGTGTATGCTCCGATTAAGGAGTTGGTATCGGAGAAGAATCCACCTCGGTATAAGGAGTTTACGGTGATGGATTATATTTCCAAGTTTATGTCGAGGTCGATTGAAGAATCCGGGCTTCGTCAGTTTAGGTTGCAAGAGTAGAAAAAAGAAAAAAGGTCCGAGTGATAAACTGATGTTGTAATAAATGTGTAATAATATCTTTATATATGCTGCAAAAAATTTATGTGCTATGACAACAAATAATAAAAATAAATAAAAGATTAATGCCTTTAGTATATACTAGCATTTTTCCCACGTGCGATGCACGGGATCGTATTTTAAAAGTGGAAAAGAATGATCAATTTAACAAATCGAATTTCTGTTTTTATTTCTTAGGATTGAGATATATTGATGAAAAAAAAGGAGATTGAAGCCGTAAGGATTCTTAACGGTTCAGTGTCAATTTTGATAATTGCTGAAAATATAGTTAGAAAATGAGTACAAAAAAAAAATTATTAAAATATTAATTACATAAATGCCATTAGAGTTTGTTAGGGTTACCCAACGTTTCTTTCTTTTATATATAAGATTAATTGCACCTGCACCCTCCAAGTATTAATGCCGGCCTGCGAAAGAAGATATTATTTTCGTTCACTTGCCTTCAATTATTATTCTACCTATCTACCATAAACACATTAATAAATATGGACTCAAACAAAATTGGGCTGAATTGTTAAATGCCTTATCACAATCCATATTTTATGTAAAACCCAGTTAGAAAAGCAGAGCCAATTCCACATTTGAAATTCAAGTTCCGGTGATTGATCTGAGCGAAATCGAGAATTCGGACACTCTAGTCGAACTACTTTCCAAAGCCCTCGGACTAAAACCCGATCATTTAAATAACATATTGGAATGCTCAAAAGGTCATCATATTAGCTCTCACTACTATCCACCGTGCCCCGAGCCACAACTAACTCTCGGATCGACTCAGCATTCCGATCCTGGTTTTTTTACAATCTTTCTCCAAAACGAAAGCAATGGATTACAAGTTTTTTATCAAGATCATGGGTTGATATCGAACCCTCTCGTGGAGGTTTGGTGATAAACATTGCAGATCTTTTCCAGGTACTTATAAAACTTGTGACATTTTTCTTTCCTTCTTTCTTAGGGTAAATTACCAAAAGCCCCTGAACTAAGGTCTAATTACAAAAACTAAGGGTAAAATTGGTATTTTTTTGAGGAATATTATTCCATGAAATAAAACAGATTCCGTCATAATTCACAGTATAAGGGGGGGGACAATGTAATTTTATAATTTGACCGTAGTTCAGGGGTTTTCTCATAATTGACCATTTTCTTACAATCATGTTTTTGGTTTTCGGGATTATGATTTGTTGTGATTGATTTCGGGATGGATATATATAGTTAATGTCGAATCGGAAATTTGTGAGCAATAAGCATAGAGTGGTGGCAAACAAAATCGGACCAAGGATTTCGGTGGCATGTTTTTTTTCTCGACCCGTTCGTGAAGTTAAAGTTTATGGACCAATCAAGGAGCTGATTTCTGAAGAAAATCCTACTAAGTATAGAGATATATTATTGAGTGATTATATGCTCAAGTTTCTGAAAGTTGGACTTGATGAGAATCTTGGTCTTGATTACTACAAGTTGTGAAGACTATTGTAATAATTTGCTATTACTTCACTACTTAATGAAGACTCAACTCTTGTATACGTAATTACAATCACCCCATCAACTATAAATTTTCTTACATGTCCACACTTACGGTGGCAAATTCAAATAATCTTCTAGATTCCGTGAAATATTCTTTAGTAGTACTCGTTTTGTGCAAAAATGCAGTTTTCGATGCACCACAATCTGATGTTTACAAGCTAAGAGACACATCATATGATTATCTTATGTCAAAATGTGGAGCTTCAATGGGATAAACGGGTACAAATTAGCTAAGAGACACATCTTATAATCATCTTTGTAGCAGCAAATTCTTATCTGCGATTTAGACAAACAAGAAAAAAACTTGCACAAAAATAATTTATTGAATTAAAATAAAATATTACGGGTTACAAACTCTAATTTAATCCTCTGATTCTTCTCTCAAGAATAATGTGCGTTTGACTTTGAATTTCGGAGTCGGGTCGTTGACTTGATCTTCTCCGGATTTGATTTGGATTTGAATAACGTCTTCCGAGGGTATTGCGACTTGAATATCAGATCGAACGATGAACTTTGACGGGTTTTGACTTGAAGATCTTGGAGTTCTTGATGGATTTGGCCCTTCAATCTTCCTTCGATCTTGATTTGTTGAACTTTGACGGGCTTTGACTTGAAGATCTTGGAATTCTTGATGGATTTGGGCCTTCAATCTTCCTTTGATCTTGATTTGTTGAAGAACGTCCTCGATTTGATGAAGAACGCCTTGAATTTGATGAAGAACGACTTGAATTTGATGAAGAACGACTTGAATATTGTAGAGAGAATTTTCTCCTACGGTTTTTCTTCTTCTTGGGTTGTGTCTTGAATTGTGTATGGAGGGTCCCTATTTATAGTGGTAGAATAAGAGTCCTACTTAAAGTCTACTTGATGACGTGGCACGATTTGATTGGCTCTCTTTAAATTGATATTTATCTCTTATAACTTGGAAGAGAAGAAACAATCCTATTGGTCAATAATTAATTGATAATTATCTCCATGACTTATTTTGCAAGATAAATTATAATCTTGGGATTCAATTTAATATAATATAAATTATATTAAATTTACGTGTCTACAATCTTATTTCAAAATGTGGAGCTCCAATGGGATAAACGAGTACAAATTGGAGAACATTTCAAATAATCTAGAAGATTCTACTAAATTTGACACCGCATGAATGAATGTGTAAGAAGATTCGTAATTGAGTTGGTGTGGTTGTAATTATCCAAACATGAGAGTTTTTTTCTTCGTAATTTGACTTTATCTTAAAGGCGGCCGTAATTTGTTCCTATTTTTTAAGTAAGCTATCCAAACGAGCCCTTACTTTATTAGACAGCGCGACAAAAACGTGAAGCAATGCTATAAATAAGATATTGGTTCTTTGGACCATCGCTGGTGACTGGTGAATATAGATACGTCATCGGTTACGACATCATCTTTTGTCTTTTGGAGAAGACAAAGTTCATCCTTATCTTTATGTAATGAAACAAACCACGTTTTTTATGTCATGCTATTCAAATGTCTAACCATCATACTCATCTTCCAACTACTCCAATATAAGGGTAAACACACTTAATTTCACCTGGTTGCAATCTTTTGTGGATGACTTCTTCGTGTTCGTAATATCAGTACATAACCTCATTAGTACTCATCAGTCATCACTACCTCAAAAAAAAAAAAAAAAAGAAAAAAAAAAGAAAAAGAAAAAAAAGAAAATGGCAGGTGGAATTGATGCTTCAGACTATGAACACCAGGTGTTCGACAGAATGCAAATGCTAAAAGCCTTCGACGAAACAAAAGCCGGCGTCAAAGGGCTAACCGATTCCGGACTTCTCGAAATTCCCGCCACTTTTGTACGGCCACCCGATGAGCTGGCTGAAGAATCGACGTACAAAAGGACACAAATTCAAGTTCCGGTAATTGATCTGAGCGAAATCGATGACGCGGACATGCGGAAGAAGATTGTCGAAGAAGCAAGAATTGCGTCGGAAACGTGGGGATTTTTCCAGGTTGTGAATCATGGGATTCCTCAAACTGTTCTTGATGGGATGATAGACGGAATACGCGATTTTAACGATCAAAATATCGAGGAGAAGAAGAAGTATTACTCGCGAGATAACACGAGACGAGTGAGGTTTAATAGCAGCTATGATTTGTTTACGTCAGCAACTGCCAGCTGGAGGGATTCTTTGACCATTTCCTTCTCCGGCCCTGATCCAATGGATGAAGATGAATTGCCCCCTTCTTGCAGGTATTATTAACGGTAAATTGCACTTAACCCCCTGTGGTTTGAGTTTTATGCACTTAACCCTGTGTAGTTTGAGTTTTGTGCACATGACTCCCTTTTATTTTTAATATAAGCACCCATTTGATAAATAATCATGCTCATTAGAAATACGAGATTTTTAAAAGTACAAGGGGTAGTGTGCACAGGGTTCAAACCACATGGGGTAAGTGTTATTTACCATATTAATCTTGAGTTTTATTAGAGATTTAAATATTAAATGATTGAAATCACTAACAATTTAAAAAACATAACACGAAAAACGTGAAAATAATTACAAACTACTACGTCGTTCCAAATTATGTCGCTTTAGAGAAAGAAAAAAAAAAATTTATGTTATCTGTCATTTAAAAGTTCCAATAATTCATTACATGCATTTTTAAGCAATAGATTCCGGAACTAATTATCACATTCTTCTTTTCCGTACGCACGATTTACAAGGGAATCATCTCTAGAATACTCGAAACACGTCGAGAAATTCGGAAATACTCTGCTCGGGATATTATCCGAGGCCATGGGGCTCAAATCCGACCACCTGGAAAAAATGGAATGCTCTAAGGGCCACCGCCTCGGGGCCCACTACTATCCACCGTGTCCTAAACCCGAACTAGCTATCGGGACAACAAAACACTCTGATCCTGGATTTCTTACGATACTTCTCCAAAACCAAATCAATACTTGTCTCCAGGTTCTTTATCAGGGCCGATGGGTCGATATTCACCCCATTCCAGGAGCTTTAGTAATAAACATTGGTGATCTTCTCCAGGTATCTATATCTGTATATATATATCTATATGACTATATCTATATCTGCATAGACTCTAGAGTTTATTGCAATTAGTACCCCTGTGTTATATCGGATTGACAAAAAACTATCCCATGTTATTTTATTTACATTTTTTTTATAGTATAGAACCCCTACACAGGGATACTAATTGCTAGGGGTTTTTTTGCTAATAAAATAATATGGGGTGGTTTTGTAGCAATTCAATATAACAACGGGGTACTAATTGCAATAAACTCTAGATTATATTGTTTGCTTAATTGCAACAATCAATGTTTTTTTTTTGTTATAAGTTGGTATCGAACGGGAGGTTTCGAAGCAGCACGCATAGGGCAATAGCAAGCTTGACGGGACCGAGAATATAATATCTGTGGTGTGTTTTTTCTCGGGGCCCGCTAATGGGAGTACGATTTACGGGCCGATTAAAGAGATTTTATCAGAAGAAAATCCGCAAAAGTATAGAGATGTTGTGTTGGGTGAATATGTCACCAAATTTCTCAGTACTGGATTGGACAATTATCGTGCTCTTGATTATTACAAGGTGTGAAGATATTACGGTGTCGTTCGTGTTTTTTTATATCTGTAATTTTTCAGTGCAATGGAGTGCTCTTTTTTATTTATTAAATTCACTTTCGGTTTACGGTGTAGATCGTGTTTTTCTTTTGCTGTTCGTTTATGGGAGTTATTTGAACATATCTCCTTGTGTAATCTGTAATGGCTTAAAAAAAGTCCCCGTATTAAAAGAATTAGCAATTACCCCTTATGTTGCATTTTATTTAGTTCATCAGTGCCCCTTAGCGGAAATAAAGCATCAATAAAAATAAATGAAGGGTCGTCTTCCATGTGCCACCTCCCCACCACACCAAACAAATTGTAATAAAAAAAGTCTGTCATCTACAACTCAACATGGTTCTTCCCCATTCATCTCCACCGCCATCTAGATCTCTCATCTGCCATTTGCCATGGTCGTCTCTGTATCGTACACCACACTCGCAATGAAGGTACCAAAGGCGAAGGAGCAGCAGCCACGGAAGCCTATAAGGGTATAACGGTGGGCTACTATCGAGAGACGTCGGAGAAGAAGCCAAAAAAATGCAAAAAATAAATTTTTTTGTTGGATTTTTTTTCTTCTGAAAAGCTCTGTTTATTCTGAAAATTTCCGATGAGCGCAAATGTTTTCTTGGATTTTCACGAGTTGTTGATGGATTTTGTAGAAGAATAATAAGCTTGAATCTTAGATATTTTCCACTATTTTTTTTTTTTTTTTTTTATCTTGGTCAGAAGAGAGTTGAGTCTCAGATTTGGGTTTTTTTTTTGTTTGGAGAGAACATGGTGCTCCAAAATTAGAGAGAATAATGAGTTAAATGTACTCTACAATTCAATAATTTGAATCCTTTTTATCCGTCGCCGAAGTTTTGCCTTTCGTAGTGGAGGAGCCGTGATCGAAGCTGAAGGGCCGCCGGAATTTTGCCTTTCCTCTTTTATTCGGCCTTGTGCCTAAATGGGAAAATTGCAATTCAGTCTCCTGACTTGGGGCTTTTCTGAAATTTCAAGGGACTCAATTGAAAATATTGAAAGCTTTATTTGGGGCTTATTTTTAAAATTTATAATTCAAAGGGTATTTGAGTCTTTTCACGTCAAAAAAGCGAACCCCATTCGCATATTTGGTGAGTGTACCACACAACCAACTCACAGGGTTCTTACTGGCTTTGACTATCTTACTCGGAGGGTTCTTACTGTGTTAATTGGTTTAACATAAAGGCTTTTTTAGTCATTAGAGATTACACAGGTGTACTGAATGCTAAAAATTATTGTTTATGGTGTAGTGCGTGCTTTTTTTTCACTATGTTTTTTCGGCATCGCATACAAGTGAAGGATGAGTAACTAGATGTTACACCTGATTATTTATAATCACACACACCCAATATGTATGTGTGCTTATTGGATAATTATTTAATCAGATTTACGATTCAAATTCACCCAATATAAATAACCAGGTATAGTAACTCTAACTCCCGTAAAGATTATAAAGTTTGTTCTTTGTTATCACAAATGGTGTAACAAGTTGACGTAATCAAACCTGAAAGGATATTTATTTATATTTTCAAACTTGGTGGGTATAGCTGAGATTATGCAAAATCTTAAGTAGGTGGATCACGGAAAAATTAGATGCTACACCGGATTTATTTACAGTGGATGAATTTGAACCATAGATTTACACATAATCGCACACACGCACGTGTATGTGCTCTTAGTAGATAGTTATTTGATCAAATCTACGATTCAAATCCACCCAATATAAATAACCAGGTATAGTATCTAACTCCCGGTGGATCATGGGTGTAATTTAATCTATTTTGTTATTACTCTCCCACAATCACATAATAATTAATAAAATACATATAAAGCCAAACAAATTGAACTAAACTAACATGTGATAAATACCTTATCCCAATATAAAGTTGACTAAAAAACAATAATGCAAGTCACTAGTTTGGGGCCCCAAGTAGAGATAAAATATTGCCAAATTTGATCATCAAAACACAAATCAGATTCAGAACCACTCTCTCTATTACAAAAAAATCAAGTAAGAAAAAACAAACCAAGGACAATCACAACTAAATGGCAGGAGTAGTTAGTCCCTCAGATAATGAACACCAGGTGTTCGACAGAATGTCAATGCTAAAAGCCTTCGACGAAACAAAAGCCGGCGTCAAAGGCCTAACCGATTCCGGACTGCTCCAAATTCCCAAGATTTTTGTGAGGCCACCCGATGAACTAGCTGAGGAATTAACATACAAAAAGACTCAACTTCAAGTTCCGGTGATTGATCTGAGCGAAATCGATGATTCGGAAAGGCGAAAGAAGATTGTCGAAGAAGCGAGAATTGCATCGGAAACGTGGGGGTTTTTCCAGGTTGTGAATCATGGGATTCCTCAAACGGTTCTTGATGGGATGATCGACGGAGTCCGCCATTTTAACGAGCAAAATATCGAGGAGAAGAAGAAGTATTACTCGCGAGATAACACGAGACGAGTGAGATTTAATAGCAGCTATGATTTGTTTACATCAAGAACTGCTAGCTGGAGGGATTCTTTGACCATTTCCTTCTCTGGCCTTGATCCCATTGATCAAGATGAATTGCCTCCTTCTTGCAGGTATTATTTATTAATCAGTGATTATTAACTGTCGATCTGTACATAATTGCACACACATATCTATGTGCATGTTATGTGTATGTGTATTTACTGGGAGGTTATTTAACCCATCAATAGTTAACAATCATCCAGTGTAAATAAGTCAGTTAGTATCTAGATCCCATATTTAGACTCAATTAAATTTCAAAATTCCACATTTGAAATTTGATTCCGGCCGCGGCCCGTGGGACTCTTTAGGATCTGCAAATGAAATTTTACGGGCCGCGGCCTTTAATATTTGTGTCCTTATATTCGACTCGGACTCAGTTGCATTTGTGTTTTGAGTCTTTTGACCTTCATTAACCATTTTTTTAAGTAGCTACTTATTTTATTTTATTAAATTCAAATCATGTTACAAATTGAGATGCACAGGATTGAACCCTAGTGAGGTTTGGCCAGTAGTTACTTAATTGGTTATATACGGTTTTGCATACATCAGAGCATCGATAAATTAATACTCGATAAATTAATAACCTCGATTAAATAATAGTTTCTCTCAGTCTTGACTCGGTGAAAACGTGTTAAATTATTAACTCGATAATTTAATAATTCGCTAAATTAATAGGATTTCCCTAGTCCCGACTGTATTAATTTAGAGAAGTTTAACTGTACTTAGTGATTGTTTTAAAACTCGATCGACAGGGAACCGGCTTTGGAATATTCCAAACACGTCGAAAATTTGGGAAATACTCTGCTCGAGATATTATCCGAGGCACTGGGGCTCGAAACGGATCGCCTGAAAAACATGGAATGCTCCGATGGACACCGCCTCCACTGTCACTACTATCCGAAGTGCCCCGAGCCCGAACTAGCTATCGGGACGGGCAAACATTCCGATGCCGGATTCCTCACAATTCTTCTACAAGACGAAGTTGTCAACGGCCTCCAAGTATTGTATCAAGATCAATGGGTTGACATTCAACCTATTCGAGGAGGTTTAGTAATAAACATTGGTGATCTTCTCCAGGTATCTAATTTTATTTATTGCATTGTGTACCCCTGTATTAGGGAAAAATACATTTCATGTCCCTCAATTTTGCATCGATTTCACATTTGGTCCCTCATGTTAACAAAAAACACATTTGGTCCCCCACGTTTCAGAAATTTAACATTTTTAGTCATTTCCATCAATTTTCTGTCAGTACTAATGGAATCAAGCATGGGGCCATCACTGTCTTGACGGTAAATTGACGGAAATGACCGAAAGTGTAAATTATTGAAACACGAGGGACCAAATGTATTTTTTGTCAACATGGAGACTAGATTGAAATCAATGCAAACTTGAGGGATGGGAACTATAATTTCATCATATTATTAATATTAGCAAAAAAAAACAAAAACACTATAATATACTTTTTTAGCACTCAACCCCTAAATAATGAGTTTACTAAAAGAAATTGATAATTAAAGAAAAAAAGACTAGGGTACTGACGGTAGTAAACTCATTTAATTTTTATTATTCTGGCGTTGATTTTTTTTTTTTTTTTTGTAATATATATCATTGTATAGTTGGTATCGAACGGGAGATTCAGAAGCAACGAGCACAGAGCAATAACTAGCTACGTCGGACCGAGAATATCCGTGGCATGTTTTTTCTCGGGAAATATAAATAATTCGAATAAGATTTACGGCCCCATAAAAGAGATGATATCACAAGAAAATCCGGCAATTTACAGAGATATTATGTTGGGTGAATATGTTTCCAGATTCCTCGAAGCTGCACTGGACAATTATCGTGGTCTCGATTATTACAAGGTGTGAAGATTAACTGTAAGTGGTGAATAAAATCATTCATTGAGACTGAAATTATGGAATTTGTAATAACTTATACTAAATATCATGTAAGAATAGATTGTGAATGTGGGTGCGTTTTAACTTTTAAACTATGCAGCACGGAAACTTCAACTTCCAAACGTTTCAGCGTTTCGAACAGGTTTCGTGTCCGACGCTCGGGGACACATGTCGGACACTTTATGGGCCGTTTTGTAATTTCTGAAAAGTTGGAAACATGTTTGAATAGCGATTTTTTATGTTTCCCTAATTATTTACATGGCTTAATGATCAATCGCAAACTGATAGTTCATAGTAAAATTTATTTTGAATGTGTATGTATGAAAATATATATATGAAGAAGAATTTATATAAAAATTAAAAGTTATACATGTTTATATAGCATATTTATAAATATACCCCTCTAGTTTTAATATTTACACGTTTCCATTGTCTTCTTCCGGCGATTTTTGAGTCAGACGCCATGCTTGACCTCTGACTCTTAGAATTTTAGACGTGAATTGAATAATTGGGGACTGAGCTCGTATTAAATTCAAACGAGTTCCCAACAGTTGAAAATCAAAAAAAAATCAAATTTTATTCAACAAAAGACTTTAATGAAATTACATAGAAATTCTAAGTTAAATAAATTTCTCCACTAAAAAAAAAATTCGTGGACACTGCTCCTACAACACAAAGTCAGACACTCACGAAAAAGGGGCGTTTAATAATCAATCTTCTCAAGTTGTTTGACAATTAAATGTTAGGCCGACAAAAGTAAATAGGGATAATTATATTTTTCACCCCACAAGTTTGCACTATATCCACACTTGACCCCTTAAATTTACAAAAAAAACATATTTGATCCCCATATTTCAGAAAATCAACATTTTTAGTTATTTCCATCAATTTTTCGTTAGTACTGATGGAATCAAGCGTGTGCCGATGACTGCCTTAACTGATTAACCGACGGTAAATTGACGAAAAAAACCAGAAGTGTTTAAACTATCGAAACACGATGGATCAAATATGTTTTTGTTTTGTGTGACATGAGATACCAAATGTAAAATCGATGCAAACTTGAGGGGTACAAACTGTAATTTTCCCAAAGTAAATATTATAATTCTAAATAATGACACATAATGACACATCAAACCCCCCCCTCCGCCCCCCCCCGCGCCTCGATAGTTTAAACACTTCTGGTTTTTTTCATTAAATTAACGCAGGTAATTTAATTAAGTATAAATATATTTTTTT